AGTACTGTGGTGTGGTCTAAAGCCAGACTGGAACATGTCAAATGAGTCATTAGATATTAAAAATTCAGTAAGTTGTTGGTAGGCAACTTTTTCAAGAATTTTTCCCATGAAAGGCAGATTTGAGATGGGACGGTAATTTTCAAGTACCGCAGCATCCAAACTGCTCTTTTTTAGGAGGGGCCTGATGACTGCCTTTTTCAGGGCCATTGGAAATGTTCCAGATAAAAAAGACATGTTTACTATTTGTGTCAATGAGGGTAATAGACTACACATAACAGACTTCAGAAATCTAGGAGGTAGTACATCCAGACTGCAGGTAGAGGAACTAAGACCTGTGATTATCTTTTTAACAGTTTCATAATTGACAGGTGCAAATTGAGCTAGCTCACAAAGCCTCACTGGATGTTGCATTGTTACTTGTGTTGTAGAGGTGATGGCATTTCTGATACCCTGAACCTTGTCTCTGAAGAACTGTGCAAACTCATTACACCTGGATTTGGAGTAGTGTTCTAATGGCAACTCAACAGGGGGGTTCGTTAATCTATTGATTGTTGAAAATAGAACACGCAGATTGTTGCTGCAGCCTTCAATAGTTTCAGAAAAGTATAATTCTCTTGTTCTACGTAGTACTCTGTTAAACTCACACAACTTCTCTTTTAAGAGTTTATAATCACCCTGGAGGTTGGACTTTCTCCACTTTCTCTCTGCTCTCCGGCACTCTTGCTTCTGTGCCCTGACCGGGCCTGCTTTTATCCATGGGGCTTTTTGCTTATTTGTGACCATTTATACCTTCACAGGGGCAATGGCGTCCAGAGCATTCAACACACTAGAGGTGACAGAGTTAAACAGTTCATCTACAGTAGAACATGATGTGTTCTCAAAATGGATCATTCCCATAAATAGTTCACCCGTGTTTTCATTTAAGTGTCTACTTCTAACAATTTCATATTTAGCGGGTGGTCTGGTAGCAAAACACATGTTAAAAAATACACAGAAATGATCCGACAGAGCAACATCAACTACATTAACTTTTGAAATATTCACCCCTTTCGTGATAAGCAGGTCCAGGGTGTGTCCTCTGCTATGGGTGGGGACACTCACATGCTGAGTGAGGCCAAAGGAGACAAGTATGGAACTCAGCTCTTTTGCGTATCTGTCATTAACATTATCCACATGAATATTAAAATCGCCTATAATGACTAAACCATCAAAATCTGTGCACACAACTGAAAGCAACTCAGTGAAATGATCAGTGAAACTATGGCATGACTGTGGCGGCTTGTACACAACAATAATAAGAATGGAAGAAGATTTCTTTTGTTCTATTTTAAAAGAAACATACTCAAATGATGAAAATTTCCCAAGAGACACTCTATGGGAGACAATACGATCTTTAAAAACTGCTGCTATGCCCCCCCCCCTTTTATTTTCTCGTGTTTCATATTCAAATTTGAAATTTGGTGGTGAGGCTTCTATTAAAACTGCATCTCCTGTATTATGGTCAAGCCATGTTTCAGTCATAAACATAAAATCAAGATCATACGAACAGATAAAATTATTAATTAAAAATGATTTGTTGCATAGTGATCTGACATTAAGTAGAGCAAGGTTAAAATTAATATCAGTGTCAGTGGGTTTAGTTGATTGATTACAAAGAACTGGAATTAGATTTCCAGAGTTGGACCGTCTAACTGCTGTCCTTCTTTTAAATTTGTGTTTATTCAAGTTAAAACACATTTCTGAGCTGGTGCGAGGAACACACACAGTCTCTATTGGTTTAAAAAGTGAACTCTGTTGTACTTTGTTAAGTTCCAGATGCATAACTGAGTCAGCACAGTTCAGTGGCAGGACTGTCGTTACACTGCCAGACGGACAGGGGTCAGTGTTTGCACCACAGTACTCACCCGGTGCTGGTAAGGAGGAGGAGGGGGGTGGTGGGGGCCGAGAAGCCTCAGATGTAAACAGTCACGCCCCCCTCGGGGAGCACTGAACAACATGGCGTAGGAAGTCCGTCAACAAACTGGTGCCGTATCTGTTCGGGTGCAGACCATCTGGACGATAGGCCACGTGACGCTTCCAGAACAGGCCAAAGTTGTTCACAAAAATAAAGTTAAAAGTGCTGCATGTAGACTGGAGCCACATGTTGAGCGCCACAACGCGACTGTAGATAATAAGAATAAAAATAATAATACATACTTTTTGTGTAGCATTTTTAAAATTCATAATAGCATAATAAACAATTTGACAGTCATGATAAAGCAAAGTCAAAATAATGATATGGAATAGTAGATACAGGAAGACGGAGCAAACACAAGAAGAAAGACAAAACAGAGTGGAACAGTAACATACAAAATGTGAAGTGAAATACTAACAGTTAAAAGCTGTTTGAAAGAGGTCACTAATGGTGCTATTCTTTTTAAGAACGGTAATAACCAATTATTCAGGCTGTGGAGAGCTCCAAATATGCAACCTCCAAAAAATAAATTAAGAATTGCCCTGGGTATGCGTTCTGTTATAGAAATCCAGTTTTAAATTTACAACCAAAACAACACTGGAGCATGGGCCTGTCAGTGCAAGAGCCTCGGATAGAAAGTGTAAGATTATCTAATAGTTCCATAAATAACCCTCGAAACACGTGAGGCCCAAGAATGTCTCCCTGTGGTCGCCACCTGGAGTTAAAGCATCGATCATACCTGCGACATGTGTGCGAATCTAAACTCTCTTGCTTAAAATTGACATGTTATTATTCCTAAGAGACTAGCCAAAGCATCCCCCCTCCCTCCCTGCGATTTACAGACGACAATGACACTCGGTCTGATTTATGGTCGCCGCTGTGTTGCTGTCCAGACTCAGGCCACTTGTCAAAACACACAGCAACAGCTAAAGCAAAGTCCGGCTAACGTGTAAGCTAGCATGCCTCCACAGATGATGGAACAGGTGCTGAACTTACAGACAATGTTGCGGATGATTGTGATGGGAATTTGCATATTGTTAAAAATGCCGCACACGCATGTAGTTGATTACTTTTTGTGTGTGTGTGTTAATTCATGTGATGTTGAAAGCAACTCTGAATAGGCTTCTAATGACTAGACTGCTCTAATGTAAACTAACACAGCCACTTGCCTCCAGTGGGAGCAGCTGGGGTCTATAAACACCACCCTGACTTCACTGGAAATAGTATTTAGTTTAACAGCAGACAGTCTTCTGAATAGCACTCTCAAGTAAACAAAAGAGGTCAGAAAGTAGCCCGCCTTCTCGCCACACACTTCTAAACAAGCCAATACATTTTGGTGTTTATTGTGTTTGTGTGGTTCTGCTCTTCTCCCGTTCACAGATACAAGTGACATGTTTGATCTTTTACCGTAGATTGTTTGTAGATGAACAATGCTAACCCGCTAGCTCAATCAAGCTCAATAGGGAAGTGCGCATGAACAAAGTTTTGCTCTGGCTTGCATTGAAACGTAAACTCCTCTCACTCAATAATCCTTCCATAACATTCACCATTATGGGCGTAAGACAGTGGTTGACCGTCTTCCCTGATCCTGGTGTTTATATAACTTAAGCATGGAGATATTTTGCGATATTTTGATAGTGTATTTTTAAAGCCAAATGGGAGCTCTATACAGGGATCAAGAGTTCCGAGCTTCCGGCTCGAACGCACGGCATTGTGGGTAGTATTCTCAAAAAAGTGTTCATAAACTCACGCTCTTCTTTTAGATTACCTGTTGCGAGCGAAAGTGGTGATTTTTGTAGCGATTAAAACAATCGATGGGCTGGAAAATCAAGAGACAGATCACGCTCGCAACAGGTAATCTAATAGGAGAGTGTGAGTTTATGGCCACTTTTTTGAGAAGACTACCCACAATGCCGTGCGGTCGAGCCGGAAGCTCGGAACTATTGATCCCTGTAAAAGGATGGACCAGTCAGATGCCTTAATTTGCAGAGGAAACTCCAATTTTCCTGAGTAACCATTTTAGTGAAATGTCAGCCCCTTGCCTCGGAAGAAATTCCTAAATGAAGAAATTGTCTCCAGTTTATGTTCAAATCTGCCTCTTGATGGGTGACGTCAGGACTTGGAAAAAACTTTTTGTCCACTCCTGATATGCAGCAGATGCATTTAACTGAATTTTTTTGAATAAACACTGATATGACGGTGCAGCAACAAAGTGCTATAACTAAAAAAAAAGATAATCAGTGAATGACCATTTGGAATTTTGTGAAGCCAATACCAGATTCTAGTATTTTGGATTCTGTACGACTTTTTAACGTTTGATCAGCCACAAACACTTGGACAACACGTGTACATAGTTAATTTTGTATGTCAATAAATCATTGTTATAGAACTCTCCGTGCTGTAGATTACAACTGAATGACTGCTGCAAACCTTTGACTGTTCTCACCAAGTCAATTCTGAGCTTTAAAATGAGGTTCCAAAGCAAAAATAGATCATCTCAGTCTGTTTCCATCTCTCTGACATGGCTAACCAATATTATTGCAAAACGATAAATCTGTCTGCTCCTAAAAATATTTGTTCTTGGTACAAGCTTACAGTAGGATTCTATTTCTCTTACTCTCTCTCTTTTTCTTGAAACCTTTTTCTTGTACCCTCTTGGTTATGCAAGAACTTCCCGTTTCGAAACCAGGCTGTAAACAGACCATTATTAACATAGAAACTCAAAAATGTCATTCTTGAAAAGCCTGCACAGGATCTAGAGTGATGTTATGTGGACATTTGAACATTGATCCATGGGCCTGTGTTCTCAATATGATTGGAACAGACTTGCTGCACCGATATTCAAAAGTTCAGAAACAGGAAGCAACTTTTATACCCTCCTTGAACCCGCCTCTTGCGTAGTTATAACAAGAAGAAGGAAATGTAACGCCGTGTGCCGTAATGATAGCTGCACAATATTGACAGAGCTCATTTGATTGTGGCCTCTGTGGAGCTAGCATCTCGCACATTCACCGTCACTGACTCCTCTCCTTCTGTCTCCATGCAGTCCTCCAGCTCAAGCTCCAGCAGAGACGAACGCGAGAGGAACTGGTCAGCCAAGGGATCATGCCACGTAAGTCTGCAGCTTTGTTCACTACTCTTCATATAAACGGTCAAGAAATGTCTCAATTGGATCAGAACGCTTTCATACACATTACATTATCTGCAAAAGTGTCATATGCAGCGGCGTCTCTGCACCACTTTGAGTTATCAAATGAGGCAGCTTCCTCTTCATCAGTAGCCACTTCCTGATTCACATGGCGAGTTGGAAATGATTTTGACTTGTTGTATGACTTTTGTATAACCTTGTTTTGCAACGGTTTGGTCGTAGTTATCGCGTTAGACGTCTAAACGGAGAGAATAAATGGTCAACACAGATCACATGTTTACTGTGCTCTGCAAATTTCACGCATTCTCCACAGCTCTTTGTGCTTCTTTCACTCCTCAGTCAGTCGGCTAATGAAGTTTCCCAGTCATTAAGTCACACAAAACCATGCAGGTTGTGAAGACTGAATTACTAAATCTTGCACCCATAAGACTTTGATTATGTATAAATGTGCAATGCTTTCATAAAATCAATCAATCTTTATTTGTAACACACATTTAAAACAGCCATGGCTTACCAAAGTGCCGTACAGACAAATGTAAAAACAGCCTCTTCCAAAACGCATATAAATAAGAAAAAATATATATACACATAACAATGTATTCATGTATTTTATGTTCTGACTTCTGTTGGTTCTGGTTGAGAAAAAAACAGCAAATAAAACACAATTGGACTGATTTGTAAAAGGTTTGCTTGGATTTGAGGGGCAAAGCAGTATTAATGGTTCATATCTGGTATCGGCATCAGTATGGACCTTTAAAACCTGCATTTTTGTGTCATTTTAGCAGACTTGTTCTTTAGTTGTTGCTGCATCATGTTTGAATAATACTGTTGTGTGGCTCAAAATATAAAACAAAAATGTAGGACAGAACATATTTTTCGAAGACACAATAATTCCGTTTCCTCTGCAGCATTTCGTAAGTTACAGCCCTAACAATTACTGCACATTTTCTTTTTATACACATTTGATGCAGAGGAAGAATGTATTTTTTGCATTTAGTTTTGTATTGGTTTGTAACTACTGCTTCGTTCGCTTCTCAAAGTCACATCTCGCAGAACTTGCGGTGGATCAAATAATTGTTGACTATTGTAGCAATTCTTTGTTTTTTTTGTTTTTTTGTGATGCGTCTTGTCAGAGTAAAAAAACAAATCAGAAAAAGAGTAAAGTCGTCTGTAAAAGAGCGACCCTCATTATGGACTTTTACGAAGCAAATATCACAGGGGCTCAGGACGACAAACGCTGATGCTGGATCAAAGATGAAATCCCCCGGGACTGTAAACCGGGACGAGGGGGCTGTTCTACTCTCTCACACCTGGGATTCTGTTGAAGTCCGACTGTAGAATCCATCAGAAGACCTAATGAACCTTAGTTTGTGAAGTCCTCCGAGATAACTACTGTTGTGATTCAGGGCTATACAAAAATGAATTAAATTGAGCCTTTTTGGACTAACGCACACATTAAGTTGTGATTAATCGTTGTCTTAAATCTGCAACGTTTTTAATCGAATGATCCGTGTTTGTCCTTTTGTGTAACGTAGTGTTAATGACGTCACATTGCGACAGTTCCCATTTGCCACAAGAGCACAGTGTTTTCTTCAAACATGCCCTTATTACCTCACCCTCTGCAGGCCTCACCCTCTACACCCCTCACCCGGTCTCGGCAAGGCATTGTTATTTATTTGTATAGAACAGTTCATACACCTGGCAACTCAAAGTGCAAAATTGCAAAACAAGATAGAAACAGTTATTCAAATCATAAACAATCATGGTACAAATGCCTCAGTTGTGTCTACAGCTTAATAAGAAGCCTGTCTCGCATTTTCAGGAAGACTGTTCCAGATTTGAGTTTAAATCGGAAATGCTGCCTCCCCATGTTTAGTTTTGACTCTGGGCACCAGCAGGAGGCAGTCCCTGTGCTCCTCAAAGTCCTCCTTGGTTCATAAGTCACTAACATGTCTCAGATGTAGTTTAGTGCTAGACCAAGAAGAGACTCGAACAGAGCTGCTTTAAAGTCTATTCAAGTCCTACAGTCCCAGAACTGCAGCATCACGTTTGGCCGATGCTGTCGAGTGGAAAGCCTGAGAATAACACCATACGCAGTCTTCATGGTAACACAAGTAACTACAACACAATTAAGTAGATGAATTATTGGGCCTATAAGTCCATTAAGCGTGCACTCTCTGCCTCTTACCTGACCCGGGCCGCAGCGCCGCAGTAATGGCCTCGCTTTAAGTGGACTTTCAAGCCAGAGAACGCTCTTTCAGTAAGAAGCCGACGCCAGTTTGAAATCAGTAAAAGTGCAATAGTGATTCTATTGAATGTCAAAAATAAATGCAGTAAAAATGAAAATGGCATTATTTGTCTATGATTATTGGAATTGCAGTGTTTGAAAAATTCTAAAGCAGAAAGCACAAATGATGAGCATAAAATAAAAATTCTGATGGGACACATTGTCTTCCATAGTTATATATGACATTGGCATGAAAACACAAAAGTGAAATAATCATTGAATTAAATATTGCTATTCTTTGCTCTGCTATATCAAATTTAATTGTGTGCACAAAATATTAAAATGAATATAGTACTGAACCGAATAATTTTTCTCCCCTCCCATTGTCCATATGACTCAGCCCTAGTATTTAGCATTTTCTATCGAAATAGTCAACGCGACCCCAGTGCCCACACCAGAGCCATCATCCAGAACCCTCCCTCATTCTGTTGTGCTTTGTCATCTTTAACTTAAACTCCAAAATGCGTTGTGTGTTTTGATGCACACTTTGGGCGGCACGGAGTGGACAGTCCTCTCGCTTCTCAGCAAGAAGGTGCTGGGTTCGAACCCGGTCGGAACAATGCCTTTCTTAGCGGAGTTTGTATGTTCTCACAGATACAGATACGCTGTGTAGGTTTCCTCCGGGTGCTCTGGTTTCACTAAAAACATGCACAATATGTCTCTCATGCACTCCCATCTCTGTGTGGTGTGAGAGTCAAATGCCCACAACATCTGTATAGCCCTGAGTGACTCTGGTCTGTGAAAGGCGCTATATAAATAAAAACCCACTTACTTACTGCTCTCGATCACTGAAGTTTTTTATATTTTCAATGCAGTCAAAGGTTTTGGGAACGTTATATTTGCTTGAACTTGGTCTGTGACTCAGTCTTTGCTCTATACTTATATTCTTGTACTTGTTTTATAATTTAAATCTTTTATTTGTAGTTTAGTAACGCACTTTTAGCTGCCCTGTTCTTGAATTGTACTATTTGTACTATACAAATAAACTTGCCTCGCTCTTGTGCAGAAGAGGCGTTTTCTCAAGTCCATGTCTTAACCACATCCCCACACATTAGTCAGTGAGAAACTCTGCAGTGAGATTTCCCGCTGAAACAGCATGTGTCTCTCCAGTATGAAAACTACAGTCTAAGGCTTTATGGAAAAAGATAGAGACTTTATTTATCCCTGTAGGAGAAATTCAGGTGTCCAGTGGCAGCAAAAATGAAAAACAAAATTGATCTTTCTAAAAAACTAACAATAGTATTAATCAGCCACAGGTCTTCAGGTCACAGCAGCAGAGGTGCAGTAGCCTCTGGGTGGAGCAGGACAGGTCACAAGGTGGAGCCGCCGTTTGGTTCGGACCATTTTCTCTGCTCTGGTCCAAAGTAAAATGCTTAATGCTTCATTAGCATTATTCAAAAAGTTAGCATTCCTCCAGTGGATTTTCACCTGATCCACTTGGTTCGGACCATGAATCCTCTCTGCTCTGGTCTGGACCAGTACAAAACCATGAACAGTGTACTGCAGCAACGTCTTAGGTTGAAAAAAAGCAAAAAAATTGAATTTATAAAGCACAAAACAACTGTTTCAGAGACACTTAGGACCGGCTGTAGTTTTTCAGAACATTAAAAGTAAACGGTGGTAAATGCTATATATTTCATGCTATATAATTCATCTCGGACCCCATCCACATGTTCTATCCACCCCCCCTCGCTGAAGTCCGAGGGCCAGCTTCAGCTTGTGGAACCTAGGACGAGACTTAAAACCCAGGGGGACAGGGCCTTCTCCTGTAATTTACACATGTGTCCATCCACATCCAGAAGTGTTGATTACTAGGTCGGCATTAGTTAATTACAATCTGATAGGAGTTTAAGGCTGAGGTGTGGAAGATGATCTGTTCCATTAGTTTAGTCTTGCAAATTTGAATTATTATCTCTGATGTGATATGAGGGACATGAATCACAGTATGAATCGAATTGCCATACTTGCTATATCGCAATATGTTAAGAATCTCAGTAATGTTGAATTGCGGCCCAAAAATTCCTCTACTATTTACTATACCATACTACACCATACTGTACTGTACTATACTGTACTAGGGTCTAAGGACAGTGGTGATGATCCAGGACACTCCACATTGAACCACATTTATGGACATTTATTAACATTTATGGACTTTGGTCTCTGCAGATTATGGAACAATGGCTCTGTGTTTTTTATCTCTGCATTTCCTCTTTTTGAACCGTTTGATTCTCTGATCTGCGTTGGCGAATCGACAGCTTTGTGAAGTCCTCAGAGATAACGTGTGATGTAGGGCTACACACACAAAAAATTTCTTGAATTGAACTAAACGGAGACTTCTGAAGTCCTTGTGCCCTGCTTTTGCACCACTCTTTATCATGAATCTACCGCAGGTCTGAGATTTGTGTCTGCGCTGCTACAGGATCAAAAAATAAAATCTCCCAACCGCAGAAGGAGATATAGATTTCTACAGAAGCAGGAGATTGCTCGATGTGATCACGTGTCGTATATGAAGGCATAGACAGTGTTTCACCTCAGAGGCCGCACTGCATTCTGGGTCATGACTATATCACTAAGTTTTCACACTTCAGTTAATGTGTGGACCATAAAGCAGAAAACTAACATTTGAAGTAGAAAAATTAGCTGAATGTTTGACTGGAAATATTTGTTGGTTCAAAAATAGATACATAGAATATATAATAATTACGCAATTAATACACACACAGAAAAAAGTAAACCTGCCCAAAAATCAGAGATTTTTGCTGTTGCCAGAAATAGATTTTAAAATCCTAAAAAAATAGGATAATATGAACTCTGAACTTTGTGAAGCACTTTGGATGACCTTGGTCTGTAAAAATGCGCTATATAGATAAACTTTCTTTTTTCTGTTGCCAGCCTTATATTAAGTGCACTTGCCCATTATGGTCCATTGTGTTTTTTATCTTTGCATTTTCTGTGTCCGAACTGTTTTATTCTCTGATCTGTTTTGGTGAATCGACGGCTTTGTAAATTCCTGAGAAAACTTTCTGTTATCTTAGTTTTATCTCAAAAATACATTTAATTGAATTGAATTTAAAACAGAATTGAATTTAATTGTTGCGCACTTACTCTGGTAGAGGTTTGGCGATTCAGAGGCATTAAAGAAATCCACCACAAACGTTACTCACTTGATCTTTAATTACTGCTTCTTTTGTTTCTTGTTGTTTTAACTTTCGGGTGGAGTTTCTGTCGACTCCTTTTGTCCTGATGTCACTCCAATGTTCAGACGTCATACTGACATGAAACTTTCCCATGTCATGAGGAAAAAACTGGTGACGCTACCAATACATTTGATTTTGTATAATTTTATTTACCATATGATATAATTCAAACCCAATTCATAAAAATGTACAAAAGTATCTCCATCAACCTATGAGTGTAAATATTAGTTCTGCTCGAATTAATTCAATAAATCCATCAATCAAAGCTGCTTTACACCAGACATTCACAAAGAACGGGAGATCTGTGAACATTGAACACTTTCAGATCAATAGAATCCCCTGACATTTAAAGAAGCAATTTGTAAGATTTTCATGTCATCATTAAAGGGCCCTAATCTGTCAAAAAATATTAATAAAACATATTATTTTCCAATACGTCTTTAACTGATAACCGTACTTCAGAGATATAAGGATTTAAAAATTAGTTGTGCAGCTAACTCTTGTTATTGTTTTCATTTCGATGTCCCGCCCTCCACTGTTTCACCAATCAGAAAGTCTGTGATCCGGGCGCCAGAACTCACCGTGTCGAGCTAATCTCACTGGTAAAGTACCATGTGGCCACAGAACTAAAAAAGGTCTTGTTATGATTCACGACAAAACAAGGAATAAAACCAGGATTTCTATCTTTGTGAAAAAGGTGTTGGTTATAGATTTGTTGTCATCAAAACTCTATTGTGTTTATTATTATTATTATTATTATGGTCCCAGCTGTCGGGGAGTCAGGGAGAGTGGGAGAGGCTGCAGTACCACTTTTGGGCAGATTTTTACTTACTGCTCCTTTAAGTAAATAGACAATAAGTGAGTTTGTAAACCGGTGTGTAGTTGCACCCTTTGAACAGCGGTTGGACGGTTGCAAAGCTGTCGTCATCGTCTGACGGATCAGGGAAAGGTCTCATTATTCGCAGCACTCTCCCAACAGTCCTCAGTGTCTGCTCTCCTCCATCTCACTACAAAGAGAAATGCTGACAATTTACTGTACGCCTTTCCAAGAATTAATCCAATAAACATGATTTGTTTTGCTGCGTTCAACTGAGTAATTAATTAAACATAGGGATAATTAACGTTTGTGATTGACTACATTATTCAATAAATTATGATTAAATGATGATTTTGTTTTTTAAAAAAACTGGACACCCAATGACAGCCTCATTCTGCTCTTGGATAAAGCCAGAGTGCCATTTATTACATACTGTCCCTTTTTAAATTAAAAAATGTTCTATGTATGTTGTATATGTTTAGATCATGGGACTTTTTCCCTGAAGTGTAATTGTGGAGGTAGATCATCCTTGTCTCTTTAGTGGAAACCCTTCCCATGTTGATTTAAGATTAAGAGACCCTATATATTATTATTATTATTATTATTAATCTTTATTAAGGACACAATACAACACGGTCCATAGTTAAAAAACCAAAGAAAAAAATATATACAAATATATATATAAATGTAAATATTTCATTTTGTCTTATGTTTAAGGCTTGGAAGGTTCTTTTTAGTTAGACAGAAGTAAAAGTAAAGAAGCTAGAATTGCTTAATTACCTGAAATGTTTTGGTGGTGAACTTCTGCCTTCGTCCGAGGTGACACGTGATGGTGTAACGCGTCTTTTATCAGCTGTTGTTCCCGGATGTGGTCAGTCTCGCAGATCTCAGATTCGTCAGTCTCGCAGATCTCACAGATTCGTCAGTCTCGCAGATCTCAGATTCGTCAGTCTCGCAGATCTCAGATTCGTCAGTCTCGCAGATCTCACAGATTCGTCAGTCTCGCAGATCTCAGATTCGTCAGTCTCGCAGATCTCACAGATTCGTCAGTCTCGCAGATCTCACAGATTCGTCAGTCTCGCAGATCTCACAGATTCGTCAGTCTCGCAGATCTCAGATTCGTCAGTCTCGCAGATCTCAGATTCGTCAGTCTCGCAGATCTCAGATTCGTCAGTCTCGCAGATCTCACAGATTCGTCAGACTGACTGCCTCTGGAGAAGTGAATCCCAACTGTGAGACAAGGTGAAAGCCCCCTCGTCTATGTTGATGGTCGGTGCGCTTCGTTTCCTGATTTCAATCACCTCTCGTATCCATCCACTCGGATTCGGCACGGTGGCTGAGTGGATAGCACTCTCGCCTCTCAGCAAGAAGGTCGTGGGTTGGAATCCCAGTCGGAACAGGGTCTTTCTGAGTGGAGTTTGCATGTTCTCCTTATGCCTGCGTAGGTTTCCTCTGGGTACTCCGGTTTCCCCTACCACTAAAAACATGCACACTAGGTTAAATCCTCCAGCTCTGGTCCTGACCAAGCCGAGCATTAAAATCTGGAGATGGGTTCCTGGGCGCTGTTACTACGGCGACCACTGCTCCCGACGTGGCATCAGGATGGGTCAAATGCAGAGGATGAATTGTCCTACGGGGATTAAAAAAAGTGCACCTTTCTGTATAAGTCCCAGAGTCGGGAAATGTCAGTGTTGCATCAGCAGTTACTAAACAGCAGGCATGAGGAGCACTCAGCACAAGATAAACGAACAATTACTCAATACTAAAGTAAAGAAACGAGTATAAAAAGCTGTATATTCTAGTGCAATAAAAATATACAGTCGTGTGTGTTTAGATCTGTACATGTTTGCAGCCTGAGGGTCTGGGACAAAATGACACATGTGTTTTCATATTGCTCATTCCGTCATCCTCTTCTTCTCTCCCTGATGCGTCGTATGAACTGTGCATAACAATATATTTGTCTGTCACTCTCTGCAGCACTGAAGAGTCCAGCAGCTTTCCACGAACAGCGCCGGAGTCTGGAGCGAGCCAGGGTAACGCCGCCATCTTGGCTCTTTTTGCTTCATCACTCACGCTCCCCTTCCATGGTTTGCACTGAGGCTTGACTTTTTTTTTTTTTGCTTTTGTGCGTTAGACCGAGGACTACCTGAAGAGGAAGATCCGGAGCCGGCCTGAGCGCTCGGAGCTGGTGAGGATGCACATTCTGGAAGGTGAGGCATGGCAGAAGGAGTGAGTTTATAGTGTTGACACATCATAGTATCAAAAACACAATGGTGGCTTTTAAAGAAGAAAAATAAGCTTTAGAACATACTTTGGTTTAGCCGTCATTCATAAACTCATTGACTGCCATTGACTTATTTATCTGAGACTGATGATTTCTGTCAAACTTCCCTCTATTCGACTGGGGATTTCAGAAGAACCAAATTAGCTAGAAACCAACTTAATTTTGCTTATGAAAGGAGACAGTTCAGTCTTTCAGAATCTGGTTTCATATTTCACCTAGTAATAGCACACAATACTCTGTGGGTCCAAAACGTCTGGCAGTCAATGAGCAAAGTTACATGTTTGCCAGAAGTTCCTGATATTCTCAATGATGGATCTAAAAACTAATGGTTAAAAACTCCTAAAAGCAATTTCCTTTCAACAGTGGTTTCAAACACGCGGCCTGCGGGCCATTTGCGGCCTGTGAAAAGTTATTCTGTGGTCCCCAAGTGAACATCAAACATCAGTGCGGCCCTCTCTGAGAGTATGTTATACATCCTTTCAAAGATTATTTTATCAAGAAAACAGCCACACCATCCAAGTTGTTATAAACATTAAACCATGAATGCAATAAGCAATCATTCAAAGTAAACTTTATTAAACCCGGTCTACAACACTGAATCTCACTGCTCACTTTTCGTCCAGTTTTGTTTCAATTCCAGCCGCTGGACTGACTGACTGAAAAATACAAGAATTACATTAAATAACAACAACAAAGTCATTATTTGATCAAAACAAAAGTCAGATACAAACAATGAACTATCAAATGTTCCACAAACGCTTGATTCTTGGTTTTCCTGTTTCTATATTCATATATTCTGCACACACACAAAACCGTGATAACCATAACCCTTAATGTGGTCCAGATTCACCCAGACCCATCTGTCATGCGGCCCCCAGACAGATCGAGACCCCTGTTTTTGACAAGCGTGGAACATTATTAACAATGATCAGCCTTTTTTACATAAATAACAGATAAATACACAAATCTATTTTTTATGCCACGACAATGTTTTATACGTCCTGTATTGACACTTCTTCAAATGAGAATCTATTTTGATACTGCTGAGAACCCTGAGAAACACCATCAGCGCCAAGTCGAGAACAATTGTTGCTTTCTTTATTAATGGAAACTTATTTTGAGTGTGAAGAGTTTCAGTTCAGTTTTCAATGCATTGAAAGTTGATTAAATACAACAATGTAGAGCTGCGTAACTGCTCAAGCATAGAAACTTCCTGTTCTAGTTCAGCCCTAAGATCAACAAGCAACACATAAGTCTGTTTTTTGTTTGTTTTCTATGTTTTTATTGTATTGTCCACTTTACTTTGAGTATGGAAAGATTATAATTGAAAGGGTAAATGCTTCTAATCCAGAGGTCTTTTGGCCTGAGGGTGAAATTATGAACTGGATGTATCGCCATGAAGTTTTAGCCTTTGCTTCTTTTGTGGCTGAAGCCTTGGAGAGGAGACAACAGACTCTGTATCCTGCGAGAGGCTCCAAATAATATAAATGGTTTTCTATATGTCATGTATGTGTACGGTCTGTAGCCATCAGAAGGTGTTGCTTCAGTGTCAAAACCATGTAAATATTATTAGACGTTGTCACGCTTATCTCCGCCGCTCTAACTAATGTGCCACAACTTCCATGGTCTATGGGCATGGTATGGTATGGTTTTTATTTTTACAGAGACAGTGTACAATAAACATTAGCCAGATGGAGAGATGCATTGTACCAGGTTTAGCAGCAGTGCTAATTTACACCTGTAGTCCCTGAGCAGGTTGTTGTAAAACAGTGAAAGCAGTTTGAAAATGGCCACGGGGGGCTGAAAAAAACGCATCTGCGCACGTGTCAGCTGCACAAGCCCCATTTGTTTAAACGAGTGCCTTCAAAAATTCACAGCGACTAAACTAGACTAGTCCAAAAAATATCACTCCCCTCAGCATTGACACACATGTGGAACGGAGCTTTGGGTCTTGTAAAGACGTTTTTGAGAGGTAATTCTTATTCCGGGTCCACCCCCATCGGCCCGGGGTGGTATTGCAGCATATCAGCACTTTTGAGCCGGGACCCTCGCCCACTGGTCATGACACATAATTAAAATAAACTCAAACTCAATAATAATAAATCCTGAAGCCCTGTGTCCTTGGGCTAGATGCCTATCCCCCACGAGTTCAGTGTCTTCTCAGGGACAACATAACTTTGGCCTTCATGAATTTTTTTGTGATTTCCTTGTAGTTTTGTTTACATCTGTGTTGCTGTATTTATCACCTTGAAAACGAAATGATTCATCTCAAGGGGCTTATCCTCTAAATATATAAAAGGCAAGTGTGGTCCAAAAGGCGTAAGTTTTTGCTCTCTAACTGCACTCACTCCTCTTGTGTTTTCATTGCTATAACATTGTCTTCTTTGCATTTGCACCTGTCTTCACACGTGGTCGTTATGTCCCCGCAGAGACCTCCGCAGAGCCCTCTCTCCAGGCCAAGCAGCTGCAGCTAAAGCGCGCCCGGCTCGCAGACGACCTCAACGACAAGATCTCCCACCGGCCCGGTCCCATCGAGCTGGTGCACAAGAACATCCTGCCCGCGCCCTACCCCGTGCACAACGAGCTGCTGGGTAAGCCGCCATTAGCTCTGATGTCGCGCTGTCATTGACGGTAGAACGGGGGTCTCAAACTCGGCGTGTGTGGCGGGCCGCATGAGGTGGAGTCAGGGGGAGGGTGGACCGCATTAACGGGTTTATCACGTGTTTGTGTGTGTGCAGAACATCGGAGCAAACAGATCTATGCACACACAGAGATGGAATCAAACACTGAAACTGCACACGCTATTTCACTTTGCACACGCAGATTAGCTCCTGTAGAAGTGTAACAAGCGGCTTCATTTATTTCCGTTCATCTTCTCATTCTTTAACATTAACAGAGAAAGTAAAGGTTTGGGCTCGGAACAGGAAAACCAAGAAACAAGTTTGTGTAAAGTTTTATAGTCCATTGTCTGTATCTGATGTTTTATAATCATGAAGGAGTTTTGACCATCTGACTTTTATTGAATGAGTTTGACATAATTCTTATATATTTCTTTGGACAAAATGAGTCCAGCTGCTGGGATTGAAACAAAACTGGACGAAAAGCAAAGAGGCTCAGTGTTGTCGCCTGGTTTTTATAATGTTTATTTAGAATTATTGCTTATTACATTCAGGGTTCAATGTCTACGGTAAAATAATCTGTGTGCTTGTTTTCATGATAAAACTAGCTCTAAAACTATGTATAATGGATAGAATAGAATAGAATAGATGGATAGAATATTTATTGATCCCCATTGGAGAATTTCAGGTGTCCAGTCGCTGCAAAAATATAAAATAAAATTGATCTTTCTAAAAAGCTAACAATAGTATTAATCAGCAACAGCCTCAGGTCACAGCAGCAGAGGTGGAGTAGCCTCTGGGTGGAGCAGGACGGGTCACAGCAGCAGAGGTGGAGTAGCCTCTGGGTGGAGCAGGACGGGTCACAAGGTGGAGTAGCCGCTTGGTTTGGACCATTTTCTCTGCTCTGGTCCAAAGTAAAATGCTAAATGGTTCATTACCATTTTTCAAAAAGTTAGCATTCCTCCAGTGGATTTTCACCTGATCCACTTGGTTCGGACCATGAATCCTCTCTGCTCTGGTCTGGACCAGTGTAAAACCATGAACACTATACTATAGCAACATCTCGGGTAGGGATGTA